GCGCCAGCCGCCCCTCCACCTCCGCCTGCCACTCCGCCAGCGCGATGGCCTGGCTGCTATTCGCCATCTTCTGCGCACGCGAACAGACATCCATAAACAACACGTCAACTGCGGACGAAACTTTTCATGCACTACAACACATTCATTTAACAAGAGAATCCAAGTGAACTGTGACGTCTGCTACTCAGCACGCGGTAAATCAGTACACAGCGGTGCAGCGTGATCACGTGTGTAATGCACTACAATATGGAAAAGAGAAGGGGCAAAGCCAAGGTTTCAGACCGAGAGGGTAGGTGTCATGCTGGAGTCACATGTGTCCCAAGACAAAGCGGCTGTGACCGTGGGGTGGCGACGGGGTGACAGTGAGATCCAGTGACTACACTACATCGGCGGGTGGCCCCGGCAAAAGGGGATTGTTCCACAAACATCAGCCGCGAGGATGCCACTGTGCTTCGGAGACATCAAGATGGCGGTTATGAGTGGCAGCCTCATGTAGAATAGTTGTGTTCAATAGTTGGCAAATGGGGGCGAAAGATCCGGCAGTACATGCTTAAATGTATAAAATGTATAAGTACTGCTTAAATGTATATGTACGTAAATTAACTGAGACATACCAGCCATCATGTCTGTGATTTGTGCAGCCCACGACGTCATGGTACTTATGTTACCGTTTGTATCCACATATGGGTAATTCTGTATCGGCCGGCTAATGTTCACATTAAGCCGGAGGTGCTAAAACAGCACGTACTTTCTCACCCATACTTCACGCAAATTACGCAAAAAGTACTCCTAATTTTCGAAAAATTGTACGACCTTTTTTCAAATTGTACCCAGTAAGTAAAATTTGACAAATATTTTGCTTAGAAAACGAAGGGGAACCCATAAATATCTTTTCGACCCATTCCTAAAAATATTTTTAAATGATAGTTAACAGCTTGGAACATACTACATCAATGTTGTAAAGGAAGTAAGTAGAATATATTTATATAAAGTTAAATGTAAGTCAACATATACGAGAGCGTCTAAAACTGAACTAGGCTTAATTAAGCAATGAATAAATTAACTATAAAAACTAATGGTGTTAAAACAGCAATGCCTTTGTCAAAAGAAGTTTCACACAAAATTACACCAAAAGTACTCAAATTTTCGAAAAATTGTTCATGACCTACTTTCAAAATCTATCTTTAAGGACTAGATTTTATTAAGGCGAAAATCTGTACCTTTATAATCGTACTTATAGGAATATGTGATTTTCAAAAATCAGAATATTTAACGAACATGACACCTGCACCATTCTCTTTACCGCTCTATCGCTGAGGCCACAATTTCATCAATATTGTTGGTGCCGTTTTCTAGAACAAAAGTGGTTAAACAAAATTAAAAATTGCCTATATTTCACGCACAATTACACGAAAACTAATTTTCGAAAAATTCTACATGAATGAATTTCCAAATATGTCTTAGGGAATGATTTCATTAAGGAGAAAATGTCTACATAATTACAGTTTTAGGAAGACGCCGAAATATTTTTATTTTTTTTCGATTTTCGATATCAGGGGTTTAACGAAAGATACCTGCGTCTGTTAAACGACAAAGAAAATTTATTAACAAACGATGGAGCCATTCTTTTGAAACTTTTTAGAATGTCCCAGAAGTTCGTGTAAAATTACCTTCCAAAATTAAAATATGGATTTCAAATTCAAGGCGCCGCGACATCAACCAGAATGATTGGGGAATATCAATTTTGAAAAAAAATCGGTTAAGTGGTTTAGCCGCTACCGTTGTTCCCACACAGACGGACTGACGTTTTGCCGTCGAATGATTTTTCGGCATCAAGGACCTACAAACCATGGATTCTCGCCACACGTGTTAGAGGATTTTGTTTCTAAATTTAGAAACTGGATGTATCCACTTCTTCGTTTTTAGGGCCGTGTAAAAAGTTTTTCTGCCGAAAATTTGCCGTTTTCGCGCATTACATAACTTCCTCTTTACTGCGTAAGCAGAAAGTAAAACATTTGGCAGAAAATGCCAGATAAACACTTGAAAACTCCTACTAAAAGCGAAATAATGGGCATTATCCTCTTCTCTCAGATAAGGCTATAGATGTTAGTCTCTCGTAAAAAGCTAAAAAAAATCTTGCAGAGAAACTACTCGTCACTACCAAGTAACTCAGCTAGAGCGCTATCTAGACGATACCTTTGGCAACTATCTCCTACCTTACCACAGTGCAGGAGAACATGCTCCACGGTAAGATGTACGGCAGTAATCGCTTGCAGGGGGTGGGTCACGTGAGAGAAATGGCAGTTACCGATCCCAATCCGTGTTAGAATAATCTCCTTACGCATAGATGAAGAAAACAGAGGCTTTACAGGATGTGAGCATAAAATCCGAGTTCTGCCATTGACAGACCTCAACTGAAAATAGCGTTTGATAAAGAGCGTCGTCTTCCGCGGGGACTGTAAGGATGCGTCTCTCTTCGGGGTGAGCTTTGCTCCCTGGTCAGCTATTTCGTTTTCTGCTATCCCCATGCCACCTGGGACCGAACAAAAAAGCTATAGTGACGAACCAA